AAAATGCAATGCCCTAATTACAACCGATCCCTTCATAGTAGAGAACACGCAGGGGGTGGGTGAAGAGCTTTAAAGGGGTGAGTGAGGCAGGTCTGCCCACCTTACAGATCGATGGAACAACAGCATTGCAAAACACTGACAAAGTTCTAATAGGAACTAGAAGGACAAGAGTTTGCGGTGGGAATGTGCAGAGCATAAAATGGCTTCTTCGTAACCAACACGTTTTAGGTTTGCAGGGTAAGGGTTAAAGGAGAGAAGGAATCAGCACTGTGACGGAAGAAAAACACAGGGCTAGGAGAGCCAGGCAACAGAGGGCATGTCTTCCTTCCTACTTCGAGTACTCGCTCCTATTTAAAAAAATGTTAACCCATTTTCTCCTTTAAAAATGATAAACATATGAAATTTAAAATGATAAGCAGAAAGGAGATAATAAGTACTTATAACTCTAGCCTCCATCACTAAAATGCTGGTGTATATCCTCCAGACTTTTTACTATACATGCCAGGTTTATATAGTCTATTTTTTCGAGGAAAAAAAAAAGGGGCGGAGGGATCACATCTATTTATCATTTTGTGACTTTATATTTTTACTGAATGATATGCTGTGAACATATTTCTATGTCTGTGAAAAACCCTGGCTGCCCCATCTGTAAGGGCAGTGAGACACCAGGAGAGAAGCAAAGACTCTGGAGTCAGGCCAGTTAGGAGTCAAATCTTAGGTTGTGCTTTCTACAATTTGACCTTCAGGAGGATTTTTGCGTAAGCCTCAGGTTTCTTATCTGTGCCATGACAAACTTAGCTTTTTATTCAATACTTCCATAAGCTCAAACAATTTTAAAAAATTACCACTCCATTAAAACTCAACGCAGGAAAAGAATCCAGGAACAAAAGAATACCAAATAATTTAATAGAATTTAATTTTGTCCTACTGTTAGTCTTTAGATTTGTAAATGAAGATTTCTCTCACTGAAAACATCTTCCAAAGATTGCAGAAGTATCTGTAAAACTTCACTACTTCCCCTTCCAAAGGAGAATGTGAATATCCACTTCCATTTGGGGCACTCCGACCCCAGTCCTATACTATTCCTTGCTTTCCCATCCTAAATCCAATCACCTCATCCTGTCATTTGTTTCTGTACTAATAGAACAGTCTTTCATCATATACCATTGCACCAATGAGCAACAGTATGAATTATTTCTACTCAATGCAAAATAGTCATAGAAGATAACCACAGAATTTGAAAGTCAAAAGGGTCAGGACAACGACTTTAGGACATTTAACAAATGAAGTAGATGAAGCCCAGAGAGGTCAAAGTCCCGCAGCTAGTCAGTGACAAAGGTGGCCTGGAATGAAAGCCTGTCTTCTGACTCAGCTGGCAGAGAAGGTTAGCTCCAGAAAGGCTTATTATTTGTGTCTCCTGAAGCAGGTTTTTTTTTTTTTTTAGAAACTTTAGTTCCAGAGTGGTAATAGCTGATAGCCGTTTGGAGAGGAGGGAGGAAAATTTCCCAAATAACATTGAAAATTATTGAATTAAACAAAGCTAAGAAAACTGCTGCTGCAGGACTTCTCAGTGCCTTTAATATTTACTATTTCTTGTGGAAATGCAAAGGGGACTGTAGTCAGCAGTGTTTTCCAAACATTTTTAATCACGGAATTCTTTCATTTTTAAAGCACGTTATGGGTAAAGTGTTCCATGAAATTCAATTTGGGAAAGGTAAAGGGTAACACGTGTGATATAAATTACTTTTGACTTTTAGATTTTAGTACAATTCATTGTTTGTTTATATGTGTGTCGGTTTACACACAAAGCCAGACACATGAACCAATGAAAATTAGTTCATTGTTACACCATAAAAATCAAATTTATAGTCTGTAGTAGATAACAAAGACTTCTTAGGATGGTTATATATTGGTTGCCTAGCATTTGTCCTAACTTCTACAAAACGGAGAGAATTCCAATACATTTAACAAGTTGAAGAAAAAGTAGGTAATACAGGAGGTTACAGCATCAGTAGAATTATTGCCTTTATTCAGTTGCTCCGGAGTTGTAGTCAATAGATTAGTGATGCAGTTAAGAAAATATAATCAAAAGTGTCAGTAAAAAAAACAGGCTTACACTGGAAGAAAGGTCAAGATGCTTTGAGTCTGAATATGTGGAAGTGAGAAAGGTCACAGGCCTCAGGGCAAACCTGAGCGCTGTCTTTATTCCGTGAGGCCTGAGTTACTGCCTGTGTAAAGAGACTCCAGAGATCCTTCAGTCTCTGTGCAGACTTTGATACACAGGAACGGAACACAGCCTGTTAGGCTTCCTGAGGAGTTCGCTGCCAGTCAGCTCATGGGGCGCAGGCTGTAGTGACATAAGTGTGCCTGGACATCCTTGACCTAGTCTAGGTGTGTGGCAGCACTACAGCCAGCTGGCTTTCACAAAGCAGGAGAGACAGAACAGCTGGCTGAGGCCCATTAGAGACAGTCCACCAGGCTGAGCCCTCTGCAGCGGAGTGGGGTCAGTGGATCCACTCAGTATGGCAGCATCTGTCTTGCTGAGGAAGCAGCTTCTTCAATGCAGGGAAAATTCAGGCTATTTCTCTTCTGCCGGGAGGCAGTGTTTTTTCATTTTTAAAAAGGCAGTTCATGTTATTAAACAGTAATGGTATTTTATAGGAATTTCCTAAAATGAATTTCCTGCAGGTCATTCCACAAAACCTAAAATGCAATGCCCTAATTACAACCGATCCCTTCATAGTAGAGAACACGCAGGGGGTGGGTGAAGAGCTTTAAAGGGGTGAGGCAGGTAATTCTGCCCACCTTACAGATCGATGGAACAACAGCATTGCAAAACACTGACAAAGTTCTAATAGGAACTAGTAGGATAAGAGTTTGCGGTGGGACTGTGCAGAGCATAAAATGGCTTCCTCATAACCAACACGTTTTAGGTTTGTAGGGTAAGGGTAAAAGGAGAGAAGGAATCAGCACCGTGAAGGAAGAAAAACACAGGGCTAGGAGAGCCAGGCAACAGAGGGAATGTCTGCCTTCCTACTTCGAAAAAATGTTAACCCATTTTCTCCTTTAAAAATGATAAACATATGAAATTTAAAATGATAAGCAGAAAGGAGATAATAAGTACTTATAACTCTAGCCTCCATCACTAAAATGCTGGTGTATATCCTCCAGACTTTTTACTATACATGCCAGGTTTATATAGTCTATTTTTTCAAGAAAAAAAAAAGGGGGTAGGGGAGGGATCATACCTATTTATCATTTTGTGACTTTATATTTTTACTGAATGATATGCTGTGAACATATTTCTATGTCTGTGAAAAACCCTGGCTGCCCCATCTGTAAGGGCAGTGAGACACCAGGAGAGAAGCAAAGACTCTGGAGTCAGGCCAGTTAGGAGTCAAATCTTAGGTTGTGCTTTCTACAATTTGACCTTCAGGAGGATTTTTGCGTAAGCCTCAGGTTTCTTATCTGTGCAATGGATTTTACAGTAATACCTACCCCATAGCTTGCTGCTAGAACGAAATGAAATAGTGCATGTAAAGTGCTTAATAAATACTTGACACGACAGCTATGATCTTGAAATAGGTAGCTATTATTATTATGTGACTACTGACTATTCTATCATATGATTATATTGCATTAAAAAAAATCCAATGCCTTTATTACTGGGCATTTAGGTCATTTCTAATTTTTTTAAAGCTTTATTTTGAATTCATTATAGACTCACAGGAAGTTGCAAAAACAATACAGAAAAGTCCCAGGTACCCTACATTCAGTTTCCGACAGTGATAACGTCTTACATAATTATGGTACAATATCGAAACCAGGAAATTGACACTGGTATAATCTACAGCTCTTATTCAGATTTCACCAGTTTTACATGCCCTCTTTTATATATATATGTATGTAAATATAGGTCAAAGCGATTTTATCATATGTGTAGATTCGTAGAACCACCAGAATCAGGATACAGAGCTCTCCATCACCACCGAGATCCCTCTTGCTACCCCTTTATAATCACACCCATACTTTCCCCCTTTCCCTTCTCCTTGTCCCTAACTTCTGGCGACTACTAATCTCTTCTCCATCTCTATAATCTTATCACTTCAAAAGTGATAAGTGGAATCATACACTATGTAATCTTTGGAGATTGACTATTTCCAGTCAGAAGAATGCCCTTGAGGTCCCTTCAACTTGTTGCATATGACCACAGTCTGCTCCTTTGCATTGCTGAGTAGTATTCCATTGTATGGATGTGCCATAGTTCGTTTAACCATTCAACTATTGAAGGAAATTTGGGTTGTTCCAGTCTTTGGCTAATACAAATAAACTTGCTTTGAACATTTGTGTACAGGTTTTTGTGTGGATTTAAGTTTACATTTCTCCGGGATCAATGGCCAGGACTGTAAATGTTGGGTTGTATGGCAGATGTGTTTAGTTTTATATAAAACTGCCAAATTATTTTCCAGAGCGGCTGTACCATCTTGCATTGCCACCAATAATGTATGGGAGATCCAGTTTCTCCGGATCTCTCACATCAGCATTTGGTACTGTCAGTATTTTTTTAACATTAACTACTATTCTAATAGGTATGTGGTATTATCTCACTATGGTTTTAATTTGCATTTGCCTAATGGCTAATGATGTTGAACATCTATTTCTAATTTTTGATATGACAAACAATGCTACTACCATGGATATCTTTATTTGGAGAAATTTTAAGTTAATTCCCACAAAGGAATTCTTTGAAGTGAAGTTGCTGGATAGGCAGATTTTTAAAAAATGTTGAAACATAACATCATACTGCCCTCCAGAATAGTTCCAACTTCTTGCCAATACACTCCTTACTCCCAGGGAAATAAAATAAAAATTGGGTTGCCCCAAATCTCAATACATCAGGAAATAAACCAACTAAGGTCTCCTCTCCAAGGACATCCCACATTCAGACATGCATTTAACACTTTCATCAAACACGTTAGGAAGAAGGAAAACTCACTTACCTTTATGGGCAATGTGACACAGATCTTCTTGCATTTTAGAAAACTCTGATGAAGTTTCAGAGCCATCGGAATAATTTTTCTCTTCTCCAAAATCTAGTGTTGACAAATTAGGATTGGAGGAATGTAGTCTTTGTGGGCCAGAAAAAGGTTTAGGAACCTGAAGTGATACCAAAAGGAAATATGTCTTTTCAGATGCAAATTGCTTAGAAAATTTACTTGTTTCTAAGGTTGGAAAGTAGTAAGAGAAGAACGATGTATAGATAAGTCTTTCTATTGAGTGATGACACATAAGAAAAATAAATGAAAACTCAGGAAAGCGCTTCCTACTGCAAGTTGCACTAGCTTCTGGCAAAAATAAAAATAAATGAGAAATCACATACAGTAAATCTCTCCTTATCCATGGGGCTATGTCCCAAGACCCCCAGTGGATGCCTGAAACCACGGATAGTACTGAACTGTACAGATGCACAATTTAAAACTTACGAATTGTTTATTTCTGAAATTTTCCATTTACTATTTTTGGACCACAGGTAACCACGGGGAAACTGAAACCACGGAAGACGAAACTTCGGATAAGAGGGGACCACCGTATTCTTTTGGAAATAATAGAAACATTAAAGCTATCGGTCGAAAATGACAGCTAAAGCTGCCAAGCCCTTTCTCAAATGGCCAAGCTGCAAATCTTGGCCTGTGGCTTAGCTGTGCACTGAGAAGGTCAGTGCCTAGTGCAACACAGTAAACCTCTGATGAGAAACTGGGAGGTCGGAAATAGGAGGTAAGGAGCGTATGCACCGCGTCCTGTTCCCAGAAACTCCACTCAGAGGAGTGATGGGTCCACTGAACAGCAGCAGGAGAGCCGGGTCAGGGCGCCCACCCAAACAGGGAAGCGGGCAGGCAGGCTGAGCAGTAAAGAAGGAGAAACCCAAGTTGTAGAAAAGGCTGCAGTTCCCTTGACCTTATACCGTTTTTCATTACCCAACATCCATTACATGCTTATTCTAGTATCCAGAAAATCTAAGTGATAGAATTCATGTCTCTGCACAGGGCGTTTGAGAGAACGACGATAGAAAATGGTCTTATCTGTTCTCCCACTTGAGTCCAGGTTGCTCCCAGCATGTGGCCTGCAGAGCAAGGCCAATGAAAATACCAGCTTGTTGGGGAAGCAATGGTTACCTGCAGCGTTCCTTTAGCATCTTTGCCAATAGCTCTGGACCGCCACCTCCTGTGTGATCTTTTCTCCTTTTTGGGACTTTCAAAAGTTCCACCCTTTGTTTCAAAATGAGAAAGAGAGCACAGACGGTAAGGTCCACTAAACCAATAGGGGAAAATGCACAGCAAAGTGACCACCTCCATCCCATCAAACTTGGCCAAAGCAACCGAACAGACACCATCCCACTGTTAGTGAAAGGTGGGGAGAAGAAAGGAAAGCAGAAGAAGGTCAGAATGCAGACAGCAGTGGGATCTGGCTAACCTGGATGGCGTTGATAGCTGGTGCTGAATACGTCCGATGCAGCACGTCCATACTTTGGAGGAGCTGGCTCATTTCCACCAGGTAGGCATGACAGTGTGCCAGGTCTGCGGGAGGAAAGCGAAAGATGGATTCAGAAGCACTGACCTTGACATTCGGGCTTCACTATGTTAGCACCAGCTACTTTTCTCATTTGTCTATACTTGATGTACACATGTAAGGATAGGAAATTCTGCTTTCTTTCCTACAGGAGAGGCAGTCGACTGCTGTGGTTAAGGGCATGGATCTGGAGAACCAGGCTGCCTCCGTCTGAATACGCTTAATGACCAGTGAATCTTGGGCAATTTATATAACTTCTCTGTGCCTCGGTCTCCTCATCTGGACAGTGGGGATAATCATACAAATAGCTCACAGGATAGCTGTGAGTTAAAGGAGCTGATATGCGTAGCCATCTTTTAGAGTGCTGGCACCTTGTAAGCATTAAATAGATCAGCCGTCACCATCGTCGTCATCATCATTTCTGATACTCAGTAACAGGGTGTCACTATCCAATTTTAAAGACCCCATATAAGTAAATGAATGAAAATAAAATGAAGATTGTATTGGTTGCTACGAATAACTTTGTCGACCATGGACCCGCATGCTGATCCTGACGACTGCTTCAGATTGACCTGAGAGGACCTAAGAGTATTCTTGGACCAGTTCCTGGGTCACTAACTCAAAAATAGCTCTCAATTTGCTGTTCACTGGATGATGGGAACTGTTTCTGCTGAGGAATCAAAACCCAAATGTATTAAGATCGTGGCTTTCAAACTTTGGTATCATCAGAATCACCTAGAGAACCTGTCAAAGCAAAGATCTTTGGGATCCACCCCCACTTTCTGATTCAGTCTATCTGGGTCGGGCCTGAGAATCTGCATTTCTAGTAAGTCATAGGCCAGGCCAATGCTGCTGGTCCAGAGACAGCATTTCAAGGACTGACATTCTAAAATGTTACTCGGTGAAGCTCATGAGTGATATTTGCTGGGAGGGCAAAACCTACATGGCCCCAGGTATGATAATATCTGCACTTGACTGAAGAAAATGCAATTTTCAAGGCTGGCATCTTTCTCTAATAGTGGTTGCACTTTAAAACCAGCTGCGGAAATGTTTTAAATTACACATGTCCAAGTCCCATCCCCAGACAATTAAATCAGAATACTCCCAATCGCACTGGTGAATTTCTTGTTTTTCAGTTCCCTGGGTGATTCTTAGTTAATTAAGGTTGAGAACACTGAGCTTCCTTATGGCAGGAGTTCTCCATCCTGGCTTCTTATCGGAATCACTTAGGGAACATTAGAAAATTAGCAATGTCAGGGCCCCTCTCCAGACCCATTCAAAAAGATTCTTCTGGAGAGGGGCCAGGGCACGGGTATTCTTGCATTTTAAAAGCTCTCTTGGTGATTCTTATATACAGCCAGAATACAGAACACCTGTTTTGTAGAAATCTCCATTTGGTTCAACCAATCACCTCTAGAACAGTGATTCTCAACCTTTGATGTGAATCGGAATCATTTTTGGCACTTAAAAAAATTAGAGAACTGTGCAGACCCCCACCCCTAGAAACTGTGACTGAGCAGGCCCACATGGAAAACAGGCATCAATACTTAAAAGAATAGAAAAGAAAACCTGTCTGCATGCACGCCCAGGTGAAGCCATAAAACTCTGCAAGGAAAGTGTCTTTTGTTACTCACGAGTGCTAACTTAATAAGCAAAATATGAGAAGGAATGTAGACCAGTGACGGAGAAGGATATAAATTCAGGTATAAATACTAAACCAGTACAATCTAAGAGCCATGAAAGAAAGAGGCAAAGGTTTCAAGTCACTCTACCTTTTGAGCATTTTTCCATGTCCTCTGAAGACTGTAACCATAATGGAATCCGCGTCTCACCACCACAAGAAAACGATAAATTGCTTCCGGCTTGAAATGAATTCTGCTTTGATATACTGCTACGCTGTTCCAGAGATGAAAAAAAGCACATTATAAATGAAAACAGAGCCCCATGGGAACACTTTTGGGTAAAAGGACAATAACATGGGCTAGTTGCTAATGGAAGCCATATGCTTGTAATGGGGAAGAAGCTTCTAGCAAAGCACTCCACTGGAGACCTTAGCTCCAGCTGCACCCCAGCTTGGCCATACCATGCTATGAGTCCTTGGACTACAGTCTTTAATTTCTTCTTCTGTAAAATGATAATCAGATCGAAATAATTATATAAGTGTTGGGAGATCTTGCAATCTTGAATAACTATAAATGTACCTAATGCGTTTTACAACCAGATTAAAAAAAAAAAAGTCAAATTGTATCAAAATAATTATATAAGTGTTGGGAGGTCTTGCAATCTCGAATAACTATAAATGTACCTAATGCATTTTACAACCAGATTAAAAAAAAAAAGTCAAATTGGTCAAGTGAAAGCTAAAGCATTCAGGGCTATTCAACGCCTCCTTACATACTTACACATCCTTTACTTTCCGCCCCAGTGATAACAGATGTTCCTCTGGCCCTGGTCCTGACCAACTAGGCAAACAGACTCCTTAAATACCAGCTCAAGCTTACCTGCTCCTCTCCACAAAGCTTCCCTTCCTCAGATACAGCCCGCCCCCCAAGTGGGACTCCCCGATGCAAAGCCACCCCGCCTTTTAGATCCATTACTGGCAAGTTACTACCTTCCTACTTGAAATGGAGTCCAAGACCCCAGATGCAGACTCTGTGACGGTGGATCCTGGAAAAAAGTGATTAACTTCATGTGGAAACATGGCGATTTCATTTTGACGATACATCCGGTGGTGGCGGAGTTTGGATACCCACTCTTCAAAGACTTCTTCTGACTTTACCTAAATCATATTAAATTGAAAGAAGGAAACAATAGCATCACTCGCTGAAAGAAACAATTCTTCATCCAATTGAGGTCACTCCCCTTGCACTCTCTCTTTTTACACTGGCACATGAAGAAATGTAGAAAAATCAGCTTATTAACTTAGTTTACATTTATGTGATCTATGGGAACAAGTTTGAGAAGGAAGTGGAGAGTAAAAATGGTCTTCATAAACTATATATTTAGGCTTACTATGAAAGGGGCCAATTGTTATGTTGTTCTTAAGAAAGCAAAACACAAGCAGTTATATTAAACAAGTAAGCTAAAATTTATATCTACCTGTCTCTTAAAGCATTTCCAAGTTCTTCTGGCCCACCTTCTCCTAGCCCTACAAAAATATTAGTCCCTTGTTTCTTTTAAACTCTTTTATAATTCAGACTTTTCACATAAATCTTCTCCGAACTAGAAAGAATTAGTAAATTCTTCCTAAATTATTTAACTTTGTTAATCTTCTCTGACAAAAAAATACATTGCTGAGGACTACATATTAATGAATGCAAAGGTTATTTAAAAGAACATTTCCCCTGCTCTCAGAAATAGAAAAAAATCTGAAAAAGTATTAAAAGTGATTTCCAAGATTTTTCAAACACACACACACACAGCCATTTTCTCCATCAGTGAGTGTCTATAAATGTCTAATTTCCATGAAGAATAATGTTTGTGACTAGTAACTTTTATTCTAAAATATTTCAAATGTTCATAAAAGTACTAAAAAGAATATAATAAGCACCTATGAACCATAGATACTTCTTAATAGTCAATGTTTTTATGTGCATATGAGGGTATATTAATATTTTCAAAATAAAAAATGATAGGTATCCATATATTAGAACACAGAGATTCGTAACGTGACAATTTACAATGCCCAAAAATAATGGTAGGTTAACTTCCAAGAAGAAAAATCCAGGTCGATCACATTAAAATCTTTACAAATGCTGCTACTGAGAACAAGGATGTGGGAATAAATGTCAGCAGCATCATTCACTTAGGAAATGTTAAGTTGGCTCTTATGTTTGCTGTGTTGATTAGAAGTATGTCCAAGATTTAAAAACTCTCTAGGTACTACTGAATGTGTCATGTACAGGAAGAAGCAATACAAACAGATTAATATCTCTTTGTCTCTCTTAAATCATGTTCTCGAAATGTTCTTTGTTTCCCAGATGTGGTTAATAAGAACATTGTGTCATCTTTTGCACTGATCTGCTCTCAGTGGCCCTTAAAAATCCATGCCCAAAGCATTCATCTTGACTTGTTTTGTACTGGTTAAACAAGGCAGAAGAATAAAAACACTTTATTAAATAACTGACTGGGGTTCTGTGCCAGCCTCTCATGTACTATTAGGACTGTGGATAGATAGCCACTTAAGTCTCTACTGCCAGATCCCTCACCTATAAATGATGGCCCAGATTTAAAAACTGCCTGTCTCTGAGGCTATTAATTAGGACCCTCAGATAACCAGACATATCTACACTAACAGTCACAGCTGATGCTCAAAGGGATGAACACGAAACACAAAGAGAACTTAGAAGTGAATCAACACAGAAAATAATAAACTGTGTTGATCATGATAGTAGTATTTGATATATTTTAAGGCATTCTAGTTCTTTAAAATGAGGAACTGATAATCACTTATTCTGTTAATTGAAAGAGTGGATGAACAAGAACCTATAATTTCCTGACCATATCAAAACACAGAACTAAGCATCACTGGGAGTACATGGAGAAATAACCTAAATGACAGTAAAGGAGATCGACCCCTGAAATCAAGGTGGAGGGAATATTCTTTCTTAAATCTATTTTTTTTTTCTTTTTTTTAGATTATAGGTCTCTCCCTCCTTTACTTCACACTAATTGTTCTCATCCAGAGGTGATTTGCCCCCTCCTCCAAGGGGACATTTGGCAATGTCTGGAGACACTTTTTGGTTGTCAAAACTTGCCAAGGGTGAGAAACCCTGCTTTACACAATCAGCTACACACACAGGTAGAGGCACGTAGATTAGGAAACAGCATGCATTTGACTATCTCGTGCAGTCAATCGACCACATGTATGTGTCATGTGTGCGTTTGCCCAACCACTCTATCCATGGAGAAGACAGGGATACCTTAAACACAGGGCTCAAAATCTCATGCTTTTATTCTCCCAACCCTCAGCCCCCATTCCCAATACTGCAAATTATCTGCCGAAGTCAGAAAAGAGTTTAAACACTTTCTCGATTCATTTCTAACATTCGGGTACCACCTAGTAAGTATACCCAATAATTAAACTTACTGAGATTGCTGTGGGTCAGGCATTATGCCAAGTTTCCTACATGCAGCCCTCCTGAGACTTTCAGAGATTAAATAATGTGCCGAAGGCCAACGTCTAATAAGTAGCCAGGTCAAGAGTTGAACCAGATCTGAATCGCCAAAGCTATCGCTTCATACTTTTAACCACCCACCAGAGAGAAGGCAGAAGAGAGTGGTTAAGCAGCTTTGGAGGCCCATGCTTTAGGGGGACAATTCCCGGCATTCACTTTAATGTGAGAATTTTAATGGATTCTCTATAAAATTAGCCAAAGTTGTAAGACAGACTAAATGTTAAATATGATATTTCAAGGAACACGTTTAACCTACGGTAAATGGTTCTTAATGAGAGACAGTACTGCCAGGGGGCAGGAGAGGGGTCGTATTTCGAAACATGAAGATTTTTTTGTTATTGATCATTGTCACAATCATGGGGGGAAAGGGGTATTTAGGGAATGCGGGGACAAGGACGCTAAACCTTCAGTCGTGTGTCCCAACCAAATATCAATAGCGTTCACTGGAAATATTTTCATAACGAAGATCTTCTATATGTTGGCTGGACGTTTTGAAATATTCAAAAGGTATCACCAATAGTAGTGTAACTGATGATCCCTTCGCGATGTAAAGGAACTCTGCAGTGGGAGGCAGGACCTGGGGGCCAGTCTCACCTTCAGATGGTAGATGTGCTCCTCGGTGTCCAGGTCTATGCATTTTGATGATTTCTTTACAGACATCACCGAGAGCCCGACATCAATGCAGCCATGCAGCTTCTCTCTCTCGATCTGCAGAGGCACGAAGAGGTCCCATTCTCGACGCTCCTTCCCTCCACCCTCACCTTCCACATCCGCCAATAGTAAACATGAGAACAACTTATCCAGCAATTAGTGTGAATCGGTATAGAGTGGTAAGTGCTGTACATGCATTATCTAGTTAATTCGTGAGGGATTAGGTAACAAGTGCTTTACATGGTCAGTGGCGAGGATGCAAGAAAATGAGGAAGCTAAGAGGAGCCCCACGGACTGAACCCATGGCAGCAAAATCACCTTGGACGGCACTGCCTCCCACTGAAGTAGCTTCTGGCGTCTGAATTCATTTGGAAGTGATTTAAGGAGAAGTAGGGGGAGGAAGCTAAGATAGGCTACCCTGGGTCCGGAATGATGCGTGCAGCCCTAGATGAGCACTGCCAGGGGGCGAGAGAGGAAGCAGGGACAAGAGCTCAATGAGAGAAAAACCTCTACGAAGGGCAGAAATAACAGTCCCTCTGCGCCCTCATGGACTGTCTGCCTAGTGTCCACGCAAAGGGAAATCCCACGTCACCTTCGCCAATGTCCTTCTCCACCACACCCCTCAGTCACTATAACAGTGGGAGTGACACTTGCCCGACATTTTGTTCCTGTTAACTTGCTGCAAAAGTGTCTTCTCTTACCCAGAGAACCCCTCAGCACAACCCTAACACCTGAACAGACAGACCCCTGGATACACAGTACGGTGCTGAGAGGAGCCCTCTACCTCCACTTGGCGAGCGAAGTGAACTTGCCTAGAACCCGGAGCTGGGACAGCAGGGAGCAGGCCCCTCTGCTCCATGTGAAGGAATCATTACCCCTCTGTGCTCCCAGTTCAGAGAGATAGAATCCCACATGTGCACAATCTCATCCATGAGCTGACAGCAATCAGCCCTTCAGAATTCTTCAATAGCATGTCGGATTAATAAGAACACTTACATCAGTTTGGCTTTTGGCATATTTCAAGATTCCTTTGTCCAGATAGAAGAATCGCTGTGGGGAAGAAAGTATAATCCAGTAAAACATTTTATTTAAATATCTGTTCTTCCCTTGGTCCCAATTATCAACTTCAAGTTAAATATAAGTGTCTAAGAACCGGGGTGCTGAATGTGATAGTGTGGGTACAAATAAAGGTGAGGCCAAAGCCAGCATCTTACCTTGTGCCAGCCTTTCAAAGGCCATTTCCTCTTCTTCAGCAAAAATCCTTTCTGAACTGATGGCTCCTCGGTATAATTCATCTCTCCCCTCAGTCCTTCCACCACTTCCCAGCTGTCCTGTTCCAACGAAAGAGTTTATGCTAAATGGCTAAATCTTTAAAAATAATAACAACATTCAGAAGCACTTCATCTGCTCAGTAAATCCATCCAAGATGGTGAGGTTGGCTGGGTTCACTGGGGAGAAGAAATTCAAATTTAATTTTTATACCATTCCTCAATTTCATAGACTTAATGTTATAACTTAATGGCATCAAATTTGATTTTTTTTTTTTTTTTCCAAAAAGCTTTCTCTTAGAAGAGATTATTTCTCTCTTTGGATGCTTGAACCTTGACCACTACTATTAGAGGTAAAGATTTCACTGTAAGTTCTATTTTTGTTCCCTTGGACATCATCATATAGTTAAGTGTTTCCTCACCACTAGACCTCAGTCTGAATTTTAACCCAAAGCTACAGACATCAGAATGGAGGTGAAGGTGGGATGTGGGGGGCAGGGAGAATTTGGGAAGATTGGCTTAAGAATTGGCTGAAGAGTATGAGATAAGATGCAAGCTGGTAAACATGACACCTTGGTCAAAATAATGATTTAGTTTCAAGTTAATATCTTCAAATTCTAGGTATTTAAATATTGAGAATCTTGAAGTATTGAAAAGGTGCTTTTGCAATGAGTATTTTCATCCTCTTTTTTTCAGAAATCCTGTTTTCTCCTCCTTCCTCTGGTTTTAAGAACTTTTTCTTTATCTTTTTTTTAGGCCAATTATTGCTCTACTGGGCTGTTTGCAATTTTGAGGAGGTATAAACATGGTTACAATTAATTTTCCATTGTTGGTTATTTAGGTCACTTCAACTAAATTACTGAAAAATAATATTTAAAGGAATACAAAAGAAAAACACTAAAAATTCTGAAAATTTAGTTTTATATGTTTTGAAATGTATAAATCACCGCAAAATTACCTCAAGATAGACCAGAGTTGGCAATACTTCAGTGGCTGAGAAAATGGGCTTTTTGTTTATTATTATTGTTTTACATTTTTATTGGGATATAACATACACAAAGTACACAAATCTTAAGAGTACAACTCAATGAATTTATACACCTATACTCTCAGTAACTATCATCCATATCAGAAAGAAAACATTTCGAACATAGGGTAATTAAGTTTTGACAAACATGCCCGCCATTATTGAGGTATTATTAGCATGTAACATATGCAAATTTAAGGCAAACAGTGTGATGATTTGACAGATTTCTGTCAAACCTCACATAATTACCACTTTATCTTTTCATTTAAGATCTACTTTTCTTAACGACTTTCGAGTAGATAATATAGTATTGTTATAGTCACCATGCTGTACATTAGATCCCCGGAACTTTTCATCCTATAGCTGGGAGTCTGTACCATTTGACAAATATCTTCCCATTCCCTTACCTCCCAGACCCCGACCCAAAAGCTATCATTTTACTCTCCCTTTCTATGAGTTTAGCTTTTTTAGATTCTGCATATAAGTGAGAACATACAGTATTTGTCTTTCTCTGTCTGATTTATTCCATAATGCTCTCAACATCCATCCATGTTGTCACAAAAGGCAGGATTTCCTTCTTTATTATGGATGAATAATATTCCCGTGTGTGTGTGTGTGTGTGTGTGTGTGTGTGTGTGTGTGTGTGTGTGTGTGTATTATACAGTCTTTATCCATTCATCCATTAATAGACACTTAGGTTGTTTCCATGTCTTGGCTATTGTGAATAATGCTGCAATGAATGTCAAGAGACAAACACATCCTTTTGATCAAGATTTTATGTTGACTAACTTGCTCTTAGTCAAATTTCCAGCCTATAGGCAGGTGCTACAGGCAGAAGACAGAGGGGCTGGGAGACGGACAAGAAGTCTGGACCAGCACCAGGGAGCAAAAGCAATTAGACTCAAGTATCCAGAAACAAATGATCCAATGGGGGGAGGGCACAAAAAATGCAGGGAGTCTGGGTGCTCTGGCTTGGTTTCCATGTTGTCCTCAAGTTCAATTACATGGGAAACATCTGGTACAAAGAACACTTTTCCTACTTCAGCAACTGAACTCTTTTGATAACAATCCTGACAAATCTGCCTCATAGCAGATTGCCCTTTACTGTGAATGCAGTTACAGGGACATTTCAGAGTTTTAAAATACGGCGATAGTTCCCCAGGATCTGGAGCTGTAAAAGGGAATTCTTCAATGGAAAAAAGCAAAGCTGCTATTCCGCTCTTAAATTCAAAGACTTTTTCAGAAAAACAGCAACATCGAATGAGATTTCTTTATGGTCACGATTAAAAGTCACTTAATTACACCCAGATAAGAAATGGAGAATGCACATTAAGTGATGGGAAGCCACGCTCATACACAAATCTGCTCACATTTATTTCAGTTCAGAAAGCCATTTCTCAAAATTCAGTGTCTTATCTGCCTATATTTTAATGAATCTTAAAGGTCATCAAGCTAAAAATTCCACCTCCTACAGGAAGCTTTCTTCAGAGGAAAGTACAATTTCAGCCCTAACTCCGTCGGTATTCTATTTTACCTTACCAATAGTTAACTACTTACTTATAATAATATAATAATATAGTGAGATTTTATCACCCCCACTGGACAACAGACTTCTTGAGGCTTTCAAGTGTCTAGTTCACTTCTGATTTCCTCATGATGCCTAACCCACTGTCTCGTGCATAGTATGCATGCAATTGGCAAATGAATAAACTTGGTCCTGGAATAAGACTGCAAACAAATGTATGTTCTTAGAATATCATGAATTGTCATGTATTTGAAGTATGTCGAATATCTTCTGGCCCAATGACTACTGACAAATTTAATAAGGCACACTCAGATTTATTATGAAAGAGGGCGTGTGTGTTATCCTTGTTCAGGGAATAGCTAAGGCTCAAAATCTGCTGGAAAGTACTCTAAGGGGATCAAATCCTTTTGATTTGTTTGTTTAAGATGCCCAAAGAGAAGGCAACATGCAGAATGCTAATACTAGACCACCGTGCACATCTGCTCAATACGTTTGATTGTGCAAAATGCAAATGCCAAGAGGGACTAGATGTTATCACACGCTTTACAAAACTGGGGTGGGGAGGGAAGTGGAATGAGATTATACTCATTCCACTTAGTTAAATTCCAAAAACGTTTCAAGGATTCGTGTTAGGACTAGATTTCTCCTGAACTCTTGAGACGTCGTGCATTCCTACCAAACAACCAATGCAGAGGGCGGGGAATTAGAAGGGGTTTGTTGGCTCTCAAGGTAAATAAGCCAAAAAGGGTTTGCATTTACTTCTGCGAAATAACCTATTTTTTTCCTTATTTGATCTTCTACCTGGTTTCAAGAGATCTTGAAACTCTTAACAGGTTGGAAAAGCCAGATTTGAAGTATTTAGGAAGGTGCCGGCTCTCCTCCAGTGAGGAGAAAGCCCTGTAGCCAATTCCCTTCCTAAGCCCAGCATTCAAATCCTCCCCCTCCCAACTTTCCTGCTTGTCACCGTCCTGGAGTCCTGTGTCTGGAACCTGAGAGCCAGCATACAGCTCGAGTTCTGCCCGCCTCTGAGGCTGGGGAACCTTGCAGCATTTTTGGTTGTCACCGTGATGCGAGGGCATCTCTGGCATCTAATGGCTGGGAGCCAAGGCTGTTAGATGTCCTGCAATGCCTGCCATTTAAAACATAAAATAATAGCATCTAGGGAAATACTATCCAGTGGGGTCAACTGAAACAATATATGAGTATTATGTACAAAATAATAATATCAAACGACTGGAGCATACTCTTTAGCTCGATGAAAGCAGGAACGTTTTCTGTCTTGCTTACTATCTCATAGCGCATAGTGCATATGAATAAATACATTGAACAAATTAACGAAGCAATTACAACAGCTAACATTTATTAAGCATCAGGTAGTGTGCTCATCACCACACTTACATTGCGCTTAATCCTCGCGAAATCCTGTGAGGTTGGATTTATTAGTATCCTTATTGTTTGAATGTGGAAGCCAAGGAAGAGAGAATTCATTAACTTCTCCAATGCTTCTATAAAGCTACCAAGTGGTAAAGCCATCTGACTGCAAAATCTAAATTTTTCATCATTCTGCTCCATATTATAGCATATTCTATATTCTACTGTAATTTAAATATGTGAATTCTGATGATGATCCAGAAGTAAGTGCTGTGGGGCAGGGGGACAGTGGTGGGTAAGTCCAGGAAGCGGCCAAGATCCTGAAGCAACTGGAAGGAAGTAAGAAGCACTGTCACCTGGGCAGAGACCAGCGAGGTCTGGGGAGGTCTGGGACCCTGCTCGGAGTCCCCACACTCCCCACCCTGGAGTCCCACCACACGGGGTGGGGAGTCAGCCTGTGCATTTTAATGCTGCCAAGTCTTTGCGCATTTGCTCTTTTAAATATGAATGTCTGCTGGGGAATTCTCGTTTAGCCCCAAAGCTCCTCAGGCAGAAATTCTCTCTTCCTCAGCATTTATGTAAACCTCACCTGCACTGTCTGTCTCCCAAGAGAGAATGTGGGTTCCATGAGGACAGGGACTGCATCTTCCTGATTATAATCTCACTGTCTGGGACACAGGGGCCTTAAATTAATACAACTGAATGAATGAGTCTGAGAAGCAAGGTGGGTATAAAAAGGGTCCCACAGGGCCCTTGGGGTGAGGGGCTTTAATAATATCTGCTGGATTGGGGTAAATTGGCACTCAGGACAGAAAAAAGCAGAGATACAGGTTTCTTGTGGCTAAAAGGACTGAGTGTCAGGGAGTGGCTATTTATCACATACCCAGTGACCTGGGGAGTAGGACATGCACCTTGAGCTGAATGTCCTGAGATACCCAGTACAGGGGTGGCCTTGTGCCCCTGGGGGAGATCGAGGCCCTGCTGACTTAGCCCAACACAGTTGGGTTGCTGTCCCATCCTGGGGGTGTCAGGCTTAAAGCTTGCTATAAATATCAGGTGGAGAGAGAAATATGACAAAGTTTGGGGGAAGTGGCATCTTAAGGTTTTTGCTTGAGTTTAACTGAAGACAGTCTGGCACTG